TTTATCACACAGACATACTTTTCAGCTGCCACAGGCAGGTCCACTTTCCAGATGGAGGTTGAAGCACACTTTGCTTTCTGGCTTGCTTCTCGTCCTCAGCCTGGGCTCTCTGATGGCTCTCCAGAGTGACTGTACCAGCTTTGGCCTGGCTTCTCCAGACTGAGCAGCTGAGGGCAGGGTTCTCCCAGTTGTCAGTGGAAATGTCGAATTTCTTGAGACCCTGCTTGACTTTGTCACTGTAGCAGAGCTTTGGCCTTTCTCTGTGTCATGGGTGGTTCTTGAGTTGGCCGAAGAGCACAGCCTTTGGCAGACAATCTTGAGGCTTGATCTCCACGTGTGCCAGCCAGCAATGCCTGTGAGCATCCAGCATAGTCTGCACAGACTGTAGGCCAGTCCTCTCAAGAATCCTGTTGTTGGTGACCTGTTGGTCCTCAAGTGGCTCCAAGGATTTTTCTGAGATTATGAAGGTGGAAGCTGTTCAGTCTCCACTCCTGCTCAGAGTACATGACCCAGCTTTCACAGCCATAAAGGAGGGTACTGAGACACATCTGATGGATGGACACCTTTGTGTTCAGGGTTAGCAGCTTGTTGCAGAAGACTGCACACGCTAGCAAACCAGACCGGTCGAAGCTCTGTTCTAACCCAACACCCCTAGCTCCCTAGGTTTCAATCTAGCACTGGCTGTGGCCAAGAGCTGCAGCAGACTAGCCATTTATTTCAGTCCTTAGAGCGCAAGTGGAAGGAGCGATCTCCTCCTGCCCACCGGTGAACAGGGATGGTGTGACTGCAGAGAGCTCTGCTTGCCTTCAGTTCCTCGCCCAGAGTGCCCCCAGAGCCACTCTGGAACTCATCCCGATGCTGCACAAACTCAGAATTGGCTGATAGTGAAGGTGCCAGGGAAGGAAGGATGCTATCCCCTGTAGCAAGTTCAGGATATTACTCTGTGCTGCTGATTTTACCTTGATTGAGGGTCCTGGTTCGATTCTATGATGGGAGACGAGAAAGAAGCAAGCTTCAGGGAAGTCCTTCCTTCTCCGATGCATTGAAGCCTCAGGACAGGCCCCAGAGACGCTCTCCCAGGGACTGGAGACAAGCCTGATGAGTGACCTGCGCTCTGGGACTGCACTGCCAGCTGACACCAAACTGTCAGTGGGGCTTAGTGAATGGGGAAGGGGAGAAATGACTTGGGTGTTCATGAGCCGCATGTTCCTGGCCTATGAAGTTCCTGGGCTGGGTGCTTTGTTTGTAATGCATGGCTATACATAATTGCTGAGAGGATGTTGTGCCCCGTTGCCCCTTTTTCTCTTGTTTCACATGGACTTGGCACTTGAAAGGGGAACTCACACATAGGGAAGAGCTCAGAACCACTAGGCCAATGATTCTCAACCTTTTTAGACACTAGGTACCCCTCATTAGACTCAAGGAACTCCTTGGAAAATGCCAGTTCTTACTTTTCACTTCTTTCTTGACTACCGAAAAATACTAAGAGTCTTTCTTTGGTTGCAGAGAACTCAACAAAGCTCACAACAGATCAGGATGCTTCTAACACTTCTATTTGAAATCCCTGGGTTAATCTTGTCAGTCACGTGTAGGTGTTTGCACACATACCAGTGCCAATATTGTTTGGCATCTTGTGGCACCCTTCAAAGCATCTCACAGCACCCCAGAGTCACTGCATTAGGTGACTAACTTATGGCATGTCTTCATTTCAGGGGCCCCTGGTTTTTTGAGCCCAGTCCTTGTTGCTGCCGGCAGCTCTTGACTGAAATGCTACATTTATGTGGATAAAGAGATCAACCCCCAGTTGCATTAGATGGGAGGTTATTAAAGCTTGGGAGTGCTGTATGTCACGCTGCTTCAGAGGCTAACCGTGAAGAGTTGGGAAGAAACTGGCCTTATCAGCAGGTGGCTCTATAATTGACCATTTGTATCTGTTCTGCAGCTTCTGGGAATGCCTATTTAGTTAGAGAAAGAAGACAGGAAAAGAAGGACCAGAAGCCTGATTCAGTACGACCGCTGCCGTGACATGCTGCCACATCACTTTCCCTGGGCACGACGGATGTCCTAGCAGCATGAGCAGCAATTTGTATCAGCTCTGGCAAGCATCACAGATGTTCTTCAAGGGAATTGAGAGCTTTCTGGGGAAGGATCAATGTACTGTAGCAATTGCTCATAAGTGTGATGCACTGTGTTAGGCTTCCTCCCCTAGCCACGATCTGACTGCTGCTTTTGATTATTTCTTGCTGTAAAGAGGCGGGTTTTTTGCAGAAATAAAGCATCGGCTTCAGTTCAGCACTAATTGCCCATTACAGTCAATTGTGACCTCTTATAGTTGCCTGCCAGGAACATCATCCCTCAAACACCACCTCCTGCTGTTCAGGAAACATAAATGAGAGTTTTCAGAGCAGGCCTCAGCAGCAGAGGATTTAAGTGCAACATGTTAATTAAATATCAGTGGATAGCCCTGCTAAGGCTCTTTAAAATACAAGTTCCAAATCATAAACTCTGCTGCTAAAAATACAACTCAAGTTTCTAAAGTAATAGACCCGCAATTAGGTCTCATTTCAATAAGCGCTTGAAGAGAATATTCAAGTTCCTGAATTGTTTTTAATGAGCAATGCAGCACAATGGCATGTAATGGCCCTTTCTCATATTAAATTATTGTTCCATAGGTTATCAATTACTGTTGAACTGAGGTGGTTTTATCAAGTGTCTGGTCTGAACTGAAATGCACAAAATTCCTAGCACGTAAGCCCATTAACCAATTCAAGAAATGGCTTGTCACTAGCTGGAGGTTGCTTGCCTACCTGTATGGATGTGGGTATGCCTTCCAGCTGTCTGACAGTGCTTGCTGTGAACCCAGTTGAAAAATGAAGGGTTTGCTGCAGAAAATCTCAGCAGGACTGAGCAGCACTTTCCCCGACATTTCAGATGTTTTTATAACACAAAAGGGTGTTTTCAGTTTTACCCTTTGGAAAAGTTTCTCGTCTTCATTTTTCAGCAGCCAGAATGACTTTTTTTTTCTTTTGGTAAAAAGTTTCAGTTAGGAGGCAGGCACTTTTTAACCAAGAAAAAAAAATAGCCGGTGGCTTTTACCCAAGGCCTCTGTTGAACCTGATGCTGTGTGCAATGCAGTCCACTGGTAATGGAGCAGAGCAGTAGCATAGCACAATTCATCAGCAAAGTGCTTCATGAATGTTTAGAGTCTAACTGAAGATCAAAGACAGGAAAAGATGCCATTTGACTTCACTGGGGTTTGAATCAGGCCTTGGACACTGTATTCTTAGCAGGTCCCTTTGGGGTAGGTAAACGTTACTTTCCTCATCTATGAAATGGGATGCATAGTGAATGTGGGGTCTTCGCATAACTTGGTTGCAATTTGCATCTCTGTGGTATAATGGATGTGGGGGTCTTCACATAGCTTGGTTGCATCTCTGTGGTTAACCATGACCCAGAACCATTGCTCACCCATCAGTCATCTCCCTCGGGCTAGCAGGGTTAGCTAGAGTAGGATGGACTCATGCATACCTCATGAACAGAGATACTCTGCCACACTGCTGGGGTAGGGGCATGCTACCAAGCGGGCAGCAGGCCTGTACTCTGTGCTTTTATAAATGGCCAGGGCATGGGCAGGAAAACATGTGAGAGCCTGGGAGGGCTTTCATTTCAGTTTGCCCCTGCCCGGGCTCTAATGAGGTGGAGGAGCAAAGGGCTGGGATTCTTCAAGGCCCCAGAGTAAGGTAGGGAAAGGCGGAAGGAAGGCAGCTAGGTTTCTTCATTCTTCACTCATTTCATATTGGAGCTGAGGTCCAGGCTGGCTGGTGCCACCATCTCCACTTTGTCACCATTTCACCCCACCTACATGGCTGCACTACACAAGCTGCCTTGTCCTTATGGCTTCAGTGAACTGGACACACACTCCAGATCAAGCAGAAACAAACTTCCTATGGCCCAAAACACACGGAATGGATCCAGACTGTGCCATGACAAGAAATATCAAACTTGCCTATGCATCTCCATCACCCCCACAATAACTACACCCCACAACAAAGCTATCACCATTCCTGGATCATACACCTGCACCTCCAGAAATGTAATCTATCTCATCCGGTGCACTAAATGTCCTGATGGAAAATCTGTGGAAGAAACCAAACAACAACTGCACACCAGAATGAACGTG